TGAAGTCCAACCCAGCTACAACTATCAAAATACACAGTGTGCGCCCCTCTGTCCTGTGACAAGGAAAGCCGATCACCATGACTATCGATACAAATAAACGAAATACATTTTAATTTTCTGTAAGGCAATTCTTTTGGGACTTTTGGGAAGAAAAAAGTTTAATCAAAAGCAAATAAATAAACCAAGAAGTGAAATCCGATTAGCTATTTAAATGGTGAGATTTTTGCACTTCACATTAAAAGTATGCTTCCAAATCACTCTCATAAAAATCCAATGAAGCAAAACCAGTAAATTATCCTAAAACATTGATACTAAAGCACAACATTTTAATGACTACATTACTGTTACCGACTAAAGGAGTTACTCCTTTTATTCAGCTAGCAGAGGTCTGTGCTGTGGTACTGAGCATCCCACCTGCAATACCAACCAATGACATGTGTGTGGGAGGTGGTTATAAATTGGTGCTTGAACAGACACCTTCAGCACCACAGCATGCACCTCTGCCATTTGAGCTAAAGAAGGGACTTCATTAGCTGCCAGTAGTACCAGGCAGTTATCCTGTATTGGAACAACCACTAGAGGGGGATGCAACATGTGCTATGCTATCATGAATTATGAAGTGTCTGTGTTCTGAAGCTTTTCTATGCATGCAAGTTATAAATCCATCACAAAAGGAAAGTTCAACTATCTAGGCTGCTCATTAGTGAATTTTTGTTAATTACAGGAAGTGTATCCAGTTCTCACACACAGTAAAAAGTTCTTTTATGTCTTTATTTACAATTAAGATATACTGCTGGCTTTTCAAACACAAAAGAATGTTCTGTTTATCCCCTTGTGGTTTTACGATGACTTACTGTTGCTATTAAGAAAACAGCAACAGAAACCGGAATCTATATCCTGTTTGCTATTGTCATATTTGTAAAGGAATTGCATGTAACTAAATTAAGTTCTTCAACACAAAAGAAAAAAAGCACTGATGTTTGAACATAAGTTGTCAAGGACAAGATTTATAAGAAAGTTACACATGTTGTGTATCAAACCACAAAAAAGTCAATATTTTTTTCTCATGCCAACACCTTTTGTTAAGCACAAAATGTACATACTACTTATTAAATACTCCCTTTTTGAAATAATACATTACATAATACTGTTTTAATTTTACTTTCTACTTCAAAGGCCATCGGAGATTACCCTTTTTATGTTTATTTTATAATAAATACATCTAAGTTATATTCAAATATCTCTGTGTACATAGAATTTATAACATTTGTAAATTTGCCTCCAAAGTTTTTCAAATATTTTCACTAATTAACCATCTACCACCTCCAAGGCAGACTATGCCACATTCCCTCTGGTGCAGATATGTCAGTGTGCTAACAGTGCTGAGGAAAAGGGGAAATGGGAGAAAAAACACTGCCCAGTGTAGACATGGGCAAAATTCTGCTCTTAGAGCAATATATTGTAGCAGATCTTACACAGGGAGAATTCCGAGTGATGAAACTGGAGTTCTATGTACTTAGGGAGAAGCAAATATCTAAGTTCAAATCCCCAAGATGAAGACACATAGTTTGTTAGTGGGTTCCACAACTATTTGCTCGACAGCAAAGGAATGTAAGATTCGGGATTCGAGGTTGAAGTTTCTGCCCCTGTCCATCTTCCTCACTGCATCCTAGCTGCTGCTATCCCCCTGGATCCTGCCAATCCCCACTCCATCCTATCCATCTCCCCTGCACTGCTATCCTCTAACACCGACTCCTGCCCATCCTTGGCTTTTGCCTATTTCCCCTGTTCCCTGCCCCACTCTGCTGCTATCCCTCCCACTCCTCCAGGACTCTTGCTCTTTCTCCCCTACTTATTCTTATTTCTCCCCCTTCTTCTGTCCATCTCTTCTCCTGTCCCTTTCCCTCCCTCTCTTCCAGCTCCTGCTTCTAACCCTCCAAGCTCCTACTGTTATCCACTCACTCCGTCTCTCTTCACCCCCCCCCCCCCCGTTCCTAACCCCTCTGTAGTTGAGCCACGCTTCCTCCTCACTGCCTGGCATCAGCAGGATGAGCATTGAGAGCACAAGGCAATCAGTCCTTCAGTGCACAGTTCCTGTGCCAGTGATCACTGGCAGCCAGGATGAGCAATTGCTGAGAAAGTCCTGCTCAGCCCCTAAGCCCTCGGATGGAACATGCTCAGTTGCTCTGTGTAGATGGTGCATTTGCAATCAAGCCACCACACAGTAACTGTGAGAGGATGGGACAAGCTCAGTGCAGATGGAACCTCTAGAGAATTTAGCTAACAACTTCAACTGAGTATGTGTGAACAGAGATTCTTCAGAGGCTTATAACGTGGGCAAATGTTCACAGGGGCATCAAAAGGCACATCCCTGACACCAGGGTGACCCCTCCCTCCCGCCCCCCCCACCACCACATTTCAGGTCTCTGCACCAAAGCATGGAGATACTAGAGCTTCTAAAAAAACTATTGTAAGAATTCTTTTAACATGGAGAAAATACACGTATTTTACCCAAACCTCATTCTTGGAAGCAACGATCATTTTAGCTGAAATATTCCAAAAAAAATTCAGCCTGGTTAAATATCACCAGTGAAAATTTCAGCCTCAATTATGTAATTTTGGTAAAGTTATAAGCAAGTGAAAGTAGGATCTTATAACGGACAGGTGTTTTGCAACTTCAACTATAGGCATTTGCTACCTGAGACTCCTATAAAAAAAATAGCTTAAATATGTAGCTCCAGAAAATTAGTCCCAACAGAGATCTAGCTGCTGTTAGCTATGAGAGAAAAAGAAAATAAATTTTGAAACTACTTAGAAATTTCAATTAGCAATGGGCATGTACAGTAGGTAATTTTTATAGATATTGATATCTAGTAGCAGCGACGGAACAAACAGTATTTACAAATCTAGAAGCAAACCCTGCTCACCTTAGTCATGTGACTAGTCATGAGTAAGGGGAGTTGGATTTGGCGCATGGATTCCCACTTAAATAAATGAAAAAGTATAATCATGCAACTGAGTTGGAGTTAGTATGAGCACTACACTTTGTCATAATGCTCATTTTCAGTCAGGTTAATGGAAAGGTTCCACATTAATGGGAGTCAGAGTTTTAGAAAACCTGGGAGATGAAATACATGAACCAATAAAGATTCAAGAAATTCCATGCTAAAATCTGCCATAATAATAATTACATTTTCATACTTAGATGGCACCTTTCATCTGATGCTCTCAAAGCACAATAGCCATCATGTCATGAGCTCACTTGATTGTGCCTTGGTACTGTGGTATATAAACATCATCTGTAAATGGTTCCCAGTCCAGAGAGAGCTCTTACACATCTTATATGGAGTAATACAAGGACATACTGAGGTATGTTAAGGATCCTGTTACAATCTGAAATAAACGTTGTTTGTTTTATTGCTCTCTCAACCTTAATGTTACTCCCCAAAGAGCATTAGTGAATTTGCAATTAGTAGGTAGACTGTTCTTGTTCTAAATATAACAGTATTATGGTGTATGGTTATTCTTACCAGTAAACATAAAAATGAGTGACATTAATCCCACCTTCTTACAGCAGCAGAAATCTATACTTTTTAGGATACTACTAATTAGAGTTAAGCAACAGGAGGATTTCCCGGCATCCAACAGTGTAGTGATGACTTCCCGTCACTCAGTTAACAAGATAGTACAGAATCTTTGTTAGTTAAATTAAAAAAACAACAACAATGAAGTAAGCTTCTAGAACGACCCATCAAAATAAATCACTGATCTGATTTTAATTAGAAGCATAAGACACCGTTCTAATTTTAATTTTGAAATTTGTTGTACACCTTTACAATAACAATAGCACCATACTCTGTACTCCCATGCTTTGCCGAGACAAAATCTATATTGTTACGTACTGAACAGTTCAATACAGATTTCAGACCTCAGAATCTTCCTCAGTACTCTCACTTGTAACCTGAATTTTATCTTCCGATGAAGGCACTTAAAATAAATAAATAAAAAAACCAGACTACTTGCAGTTAAAACGCAATCAAAAATTCAATTATCCTATGCCTTGGATTTGTCTTGTAACCCTCATATTAAAATTTGTGTTTAGTATTAAAGGAATTAAAGTTAATTTATTTACCAATGAGTTATGGGGAACACAAATTAAGATGAAAAAATTAACTGGGAAATATACATGCAGATAGTGTGCACTCACATTATTATACAACATAATCAGTAAATCTGGTACTAATGAGTCACAAGACTTAAATGTGAAGAATGTGTTTAGTGAATTATTGTCAATCAATGTCTACACACAAGGATAACAATAATCTTGAATGGCAACACACCTATTATTACAAATTCCTTACTAAGTACTTCATTACTTCAAAATGTCACTCTCAATTTATAGAGTAACAGATAAACATCTCTCTACTGTATACCTGGCTTGTGTCTACTTCTATGTAATTGAAACACTGACTGTTTCTGAAAACTTCATATTATCACTTACACATCATTTCGTTTCAAATGGTGATTCAATGGCACTTTACAAGTCTGTTTGTTCTAAGGCTTCCTTTTAAACCGAGTATTTTATTCTCTCTACATATAAGCATTTAAAAAACATCAAACTACTTTTGTTTTCCATCTGTGACTTTAAAGGTAGACATGAGGAGTGTTTGTAGTTGTCATTTCCTGGTATGATCGTATTAACCTAGTATAATACTATTGGAAATGTAAACTATTACTCATAACCAATATTCTGAAAAAGAAAACAAAGACCCTGAAAGTGACTAATAAAGCCAATATGTAACAAATTGCACTGATCTTTTGAAGAAACCAACTAAATAAATAAAGGAGATTTACTATTTTCCCCCTCCCTAATGGAAGATGTGGATTGAAACACAAAGTAACAAACTTTACCGGCACAAAAAGTCTTTTGTTTGTTTATCTTTATATTCCCCATCATCCTCGAAATCCATTAGGAGTCTGCAGTAACTGTCAACTCTCACCTCATCCTTTATGTCTTCTTGCTGCTGAGCACTGAAGATCTCCATTGCAGCCATCAGTCTCATCATTAGCTCATCCACTGTTGTGTTACCTAGCAACAAAGGAAGATAGCTGAACTTCATATTATAAAAGTTATTAAAAATGGAAAGTCATTCGAGAATTAATCCATAAGGAATAACTAGTGTTTGAAAAATGGCCGATTAGAAAATACTAATATCTCATTAGAATATTTTTAATTTGCCTTTTTGTTTAAAATTTTTAAAATGTTTCACCAGCAAATCCTAACATGTGCAAATGTAGTCTGAATTTTTCAGTGGTACAAATTAGAGTATTTGTTTTTGTACCAATTGGTAGCATCTCTATTTTATGTTAGAGAAAAGAATGATGTGTGAGAATCAATGACTTTTTTTTAGCTTTTTGCAACTACTATATATCACTATCTATCTAGGTAGAGCTAATCTTAGGTCACATGGGATAGGACATTACTATTAAGACTCTGTTGGTGGCTAGGTTAAAAATAAAGAAGTTAAATCTGGAAGATTGAACCCACACGAATGATTCACCTCAACATTAAACTCAAAATCAGTTTTGTTTTCAGTTGTAACAAGTTTTATTTTTCCGACAGCATATCTATTCCAGACTGACTAGCCCTGGACATGGAAGTCCTACATCTATACATAAAACAAATCCAGCATAGGCCCCGGAAGTGGATGGTTCCCCATGCTGTCCTAGCAATGTGTGTCAACATTCTTCAATAGGGTTAAAAGGTCAGTTCAGTCTCCTACCATGATCCACTTAGTCTTTGGTTTCTCTCCTGTGACTGCTAACCAGAGTGCCAACTAGTGCCACCTGTGAGGGTGACTTTGGTATGAGGCCACTTGTCCATTAGGATTAGCAAAGACTGTAACGTCATCTAACATGAGCAACTACACAGCCTTCTGATGAGAATACATTTTAGTTACTGTCAACATGAGCTAGATTTGAACAGGTAACTGGAGGTAAAATTTTCAAGAATGCCTAAGGCACTCAGGAGCTGAATTCCCATTTTCCAAAAATTGACTTAGGCCTTTAGGAGCATAAGGCTTACTGAAAGTCATTAAAACTTAGGCTCCCATGTGCCTTTATCATTTCTGAAAAGGTGCTTTTGAAAATTTACTCCTACTCTAGTTTTGAAAGGTTTTCTATATTTCATTAGTAGAATCATCTACTCTGCAAACAGCAACAATTGTATTTGTCCTGCTACACATCCATATAATTTCATAGGGCACTATGCATTTGATGATACAATCCTAAAAGGCATTCATGTTGCATTTCTCTAGGAAACATAAAACACAGCAAAATTTAATGTGTGTGTCAATTTTTTGCTATAGGTTCAGTCCCAAAATAAAAGGATGCATTTACTGGGGTAGATCACCATCTTAAAATTTAAGGAGCTAGTACCAGAAATCCCCACACATAATGAAATATACACCCCAGAGACTGAAGCGAAGTAATCTGGAATATTTTATAACAATTCTTAGACTCTGATTCAGCAAGATACTCACGCACATGACTAACTTTAAGCAAACAAGCACCATTGACTTCAATGGGATAACTCACATGCTTAAAGTCACACACATGTTTAAGTACCTGGCTGAAGTGGAGCCTATAAACCAGAGTAAATAATATAGTTATTTAATTATTTGTACGGAATAAGCAGATTTAGTAGAGCACAGAACTATTTAACCATGCATTGTCCTTAGGGGAGACAAACTCTGTGGTAGTTGGTAGAAAACGTAGATTTGGAAGTATCCTGTTTAGGTTTATTAAAAGGGAAAGTACGTGCATAAATAAAAAGGTTTCAGAGTAACAGCCGTGTTAGTCTGTATTCGCAAAAAGAAAAGGAGTACTTGTGGCACCTTAGAGACTAACCAATTTATTTGAGCATGAGCTTTCGTGAGCTACAGCTCACTTCATCGGATGCATACCGTGGAAACTGCAGAAGACATTATATACACACAGAGACATGCAGAAGACATTATATACACACACAGACATGGTCTCTGTGTGTATATAATGTCTTCTGCAGTTTCCACGGTATGCATCCGATGAAGTGAGCTGTAGCTCACGAAAGCTCATGATCAAATAAATTGGTTAGTCTCTAAGGTGTCACAAGTACTCCTTTTCTTTTTTCATAAATAAAAAGTAACTCTTCTGGCCAACTGATGGAAGGAGCACTGGTGATTCCTCCAGAGGAATTATCCATTTGTCCACTCTACAGAAGGAATCATTGGCAATGAGAGAAGCCAATGATTGCAACAGCAAACAGCTTTTCCTTCTCTCAGGAGGGGACCTGAGGCTGAGACTCTCCCAAGAAAATGCAAGGGGACTAGAATGAATGAGCTAGGTATAAGAAACAAAGCAAATGAGTCAGAACTTCATAAAGGAAACTTAAGGGTAAAGCAAAACAACGGGATGGAAGGAATTCTGCCTCTTCGATGCATTTTAATTTGCAGAGTTATTGAAGAATTGCAGTCTAAGGGACCATCCAAACAACCCTTTCTCACCTGAACAATCTCAATGAAGTCACTGGGACTACTTAAATAAGAACGAACTACTCAGGTAAGTAGCAGAATCTCTCATTATTTGGACATTATATTAGCAACTTTGAGTCTGTTGAGGCCCCCCATTCTACAGTCAGATCTACGCAGGCGGGCTCATGCCCAAATGGAATCCACTAAAGTCAACAGGGATCCATGTGATCGCAAGGTACCATTCACACAGATCTGATTGCAGGATCGGGGCCAAAACTAGCTCACACTAAATAATGGGGTTAATCTCAGCTTGGTGCTCAGCATTTACAAAAATCAATGCAGCTTCCTACATATGGATTTAGAAAACTATATTTAGCTCCTATTTTAGAAATGTTGGCCCAGACAGTTTAATATTAATGCAGTTCTCTATCTGAAAAAATATTAAACCATGATTTTATTACGATTATGTCAATTAAATCCTTTAGTGTTACATAACATAGCATATTTATGTACAATGGCTATTTATCTTTCTGTAATGCAGTTTTTGTTCTGTAACAAGTTAATAATAAACATCTTAAAAATCTCATGACGAACACTAAGAATTAATAACAAAGAGGTCTTCTGACAGTTTCAATACCCATATAAGAAATAGGTTCCCACCGTAAAGGAACAATTATACCTTGTATTACATTCAACACCTCATTAGATGATCGTTTTCCCATAATAATAAGGAAAAGTGGAAACTGATCTGTCTTCTGAGTTCGAATAGTTTGGGCTACAACACTCCCAAAGTGTCTAGTGCACATTGTCAGAAACCTAAAAAGTATAGAAAAACAATGTAAGTTTACATTGTAGAGTTTCTTTAAGTTACAGTGGGTTTTTTAGAAAAGAATTCAGCCAATACAAATCTCTTCCTTAAAGAAATATTAAAATTTGACAGTTTACTTCAGAGCTATATATAGCTTAAAACCTGGACTGCTGTGTTCAGTTGTGGAGTTCCTTATCCCTCAAAATTTATCACAAAAAGCCCATTTTCAAAGATGATAGATTCCAGATGGGAGGCATAATAATAAACTTTAACTGACAATGACAGTGACTTATTTGATGGAGAATTCCATTTTTCTGTTCAGTATCTAGCAAACTGTGCTCTGAACAATACAAAACTAGAAAAAATAAACAATAAACCAATTTTCAAAGATGACAGATTTTTTTTTAAATAAGTGAATAAAGAACATTACTTAAACTATGAAAAAAGTATAAAATTACTATTACTCATTCAAGAATCATAATTTAACAATAAAAACATTAAAATGTTTTAATAGGTTATAAAACTAAAAACCTGTACTTTAGAATTGTATTTTCTTTCAGAGTAGTAGCCCCTTCAGTTTCATACTTAGTGTGGTCTAAAAACAATAATTCTATGCTTTTGACTAAAAAAGTCGCTTAGATATTAGCATACAGAAGTCTAGCATTAGTATTCTTAACACGATCTTGAATAAATGAAAAAACTGATAAAGCTTTTCTCTTCCATTAGAGGACTGTTTGAAATTAGCATTTCTTTCAAGAGAAAAGGGTAGCTTATGATATGTTTTCAGATCTGATGGTAAAAAGTAAATGTCATAATAATAATGAATTATGAAAGACCAAATGCAAATATAGAATGCTTTAATAAGATCCAATTTAATAAAGTCTGTAAAAATAATGGACTTTTAATAACACAGGTCACAAAAGGCAAAACAGTGGAAAATCTGAGGACTAGCCACTGGTACAGGCTTATTAATTCTTAATTATGTTCATGAAAGGCAACTTAAATCGTGTGTTTTCTTATGCCTTATGATAATATTTTAGGTAACAACTGCTCTGAAATGTGTGCTCTAACTGATGAGCAAAGTCCTGTTGTCACATGCATTAGAAGGCAAATCTATTTGAAAAGACAAACTGCATTAAAATGTCATGTGCTCAGAATCATTTGATATCAAAATCCAAAACAGAATCAAAACACAAGTTTTAAATCAGTGTACTTCTGGTTAATAAAATGGCTCAGAAATTGGGCTGAAAATTGAAAAAGTCCATTATTGCAAAAGTGGATTTGGAGTTGAAAGTGCCCAAAGTGTGGGGGGAAAAAAATTGAGCCAACTTCTGCTACAACAGAATCTTAACATGGAGAAAGGACATCCTTTAGTTTGGCAACAATAAGCAGGGCGTGGCTATTAAAAACCTTTCAAAGACATAAAATGCATTTCTGGAATTTTTCAATTGCCTCCTTTGTTATCCAGGTTTACTAGATTTTTGCAGTCCAGAACTATTATGGGTGATAGAAAACCTGCTCATTTAAAAACCTGTTAAAGTTATGAGACTATACCATGACAAGCATATGCCCAGACATGAGAAGTGCTCTTATTCTTTTCATGCTACTAGACTGCATAGGTGTCACAGAGTAGCTGCCCTTTACATTACGAGCCAAGTGAAGTCCCCTGAACAGTACCATTTCAGAATGCTGACATACTCTGGAAATCTGGAATATTGCACTGAATTCCAAGTACCATGTTACCAAAATGATATTCACTAACTGAAAGAAGCTTGGTTAAGAGCAATACAAATGATCAAAGGACTAATTTATTAGAAAATATCTAACAAGCTAAAGAAGACACCTCGTTTAGCTAAGCTACAATAAAAGGGGACCTTGTAACAGCCTACACATACACACACTTCAAGTAAGGAGAGGAGTTTTAAGTGTGGGATGAAATCCTGGATCCATTGAAGTCAATGGCAATACTCCGTGGCAAACTGACTTCAGCGAGGCCAGGATTTCAGCCCCAGGGTATAGCTAGAAGTAATGAAAATAAACTAAGAAAATGAAAAGTTGAGGATGTATAGCAAGGAAAACTCTCAGTCAGTGACATGTATTAAGACTGTTGAACAGTCTCCCAAGAAGTGGTAGAAGTCTTGTTGCACAGGACTTACAATTTTACTGGACAAAACCATAGAAAGACATAAGATAAACAAAACTAGGAGGGAGTTAGACTGCATGACTTAATAGGTCTTTTACACTCTTAAACCAACAGGCACACAAAACACACACAAAATGTAAAACTCTGGTCATTTTCTCATTCAATTCTGCAATGCAATGATTATAAAGTGGATTGTGCGTACACAGGCTGTATTCTTTCACCAAAATATCACACAACAAACTCATTAAGCATACCATGCTACCAAGCAGTTATCAGTACTACTTTCATACTTCTGAGAGAATTAATAGTGGCATGGAGAAAAACAAGTGTTTTATTCTCTCTCTCTCTCACAAGGGGATTTTCTCATTCTCATCTAGATAAAAGTGTGCCAGTTCTTCCAGTGGATCGCCAAAGCTGCCAACAGAACTCACATTACAAATACCTGTGGAGCTCATCAAAGAGCCAGATGTCACTACTGGAAGACTTGTTTTCCACAACAAGCTGGATTACTGTGATCTCCAACCAAAAGTGGAAATGGAGGAGTACTGGCAGAAAGGGAAGGTAAATGGCACCCTACTAGTTCCTTTGTTTTTTAATTAAAAAAATATTTAGTGTGTACGTGGGGGACATGAGTTAGGGTGGGGTGGAGAAGGATGAGAAAGGCCAAGATTCTTTGGGGGAAAATTCTATAGGAAAAAAAAACACTACTGCAAGAAAGTTACAAAAATAAACTGCATAAAAATAATTAAGTGTTAAAGCAGTAGCACATTCTCCACTTCTCCTGGGAACTTTGAGTAACTAAATCAGAACTTATTAAAGCTTGGAAATAAACACATAGGCACTGACCACAGTTTCATAAAAACAAATGCAAAACCAAAAACTGAAACAGGTTCTGACGACTTCTTTTCTCAATTCTTCTAAGTGAAATTGTCTGGAAAGGGAATAGGATTATTAGACATATCATATCCATCAGTTAAAATCAATCAGCAGTGAAATATCGTTATCTAGGTGAAATAAAGGCATAGCTTTTGAAGGCCTGCTGATGGTGCAGAACATACACACAGACACACACATACCCCAATTCCAAATAATACTAACAAGGTGTTCCAGTTCCCTCATAAATATTCTACGTGTATGGGTCTCAGAGTAAATCAGAATTATATTTTCTCATACAAGAGGATAAAAGGCCACAGGAAATAGTTGACTACTTGAATAAAATCTCTGCAAGAACAGCTGATGTCACATGACAAACCACAAAAAACTCTAATTTTCAGTAATCTCTTGCAATTTTATCACAAATTAGGCAATATTTGATGTTTCTTTTAAATCTTCAGCTTCTAAATCCTGTGATTGAGAAAATCTCAATTTTAATTTAAATTTTTTTTCTGGCCTTTGAGGTTGCTGAGACAAGCACGAAAACATGAATTGTAATGGCTCAGAAGCAAATAAAAAGAATCCAAAGTTTATTGTTTTTAATAGCTCGTGATTTTTAAGCCAAGTTCCTGATTTTTGGTGCATGATTTTTGACTGCTTAAGGATGGCAATTCTCTATTTTTTGACACTGTACCTGGTTTTATAATCCTAATTTTCCCTAATTCCTTATTCTGCTTTATATTTGAAAAGATTCTATAGGTCACAGTTTTGGGGCCAAAAAATATCTAACATATCTTAATATTAGGATAATGCATTCAGAAGAGTCATTTCCAAAGCTAAACATCTAGGTCATTTTCATATTTGCCTCACCCCACCCCATAACAGACACAAAAACAACACTTCAGAAGCTGCATTACTGGGAAAACTCATGAAAGGAGCTTGAGTAATCCCAAAGAAGAAGCAGTGTATGAGGTCATGAGCGTACGCACAGACACGTATTTCACGCTATCTGACTCCTAACCCAAGTCTCAGAGCAGCAGAGGACCTGTGGTGAGTGAACGCTTACTTGAGATCTGCAAAACAGTGTCAGAATAGACTTTGTGCAAACTGTATGTACAAAGGTAAGTGAGAGCTAGGGCCTGGCTCCTTACATAAAACAAGTCAAAAAGGAAAGCATCTCCAGGAAAATGAAAAAACAAAGACTCATCATTAGTTTTAGTCACTCAGAAAAGTTCTTTTGTTCTTCCAGCTAATTTTGGGACCACCTTTAAAAACAATCACCAGTCCCAGAGCTGGATTCTTATCAGTGGTGCAGGACATGAATATTTTTGTTTAACAGTACAGATTTCCAAGTTTTAATGCCATTCGAAAACACAGAGGAGGAGACAAATGCAGGATTTACAAAATAGAAAAAAACCCCACCCAAATAAAATGCCTACAATGTATCTTTTTTGTATCTTTTTTGTACTAAAAAAGGACTGGTATGTTGTGATCACCATTTATCATGCTGACCAGTATTGTCTCATTACTTCCTTAGGTTTCCCCATATGTTGCTGTATTCACCCGTTTTTGTCTTATACTTAGCTTGCAAGCACTTGAGGGCAAGAAGTGTCTTTTTGTTCTCTATGTATGTACAGTGCCTAGCACAACGGGGCCCTGATCCACAGCTGGGGCCCCTAGGTGTACCACAATAGAAATAATAACTAACAATGGTGTGTAAAATCGAAAACCACAATGTTAAATACTATAAAAGTTTGACAGTGTTCCTTTAATACTTCAATTTAAACAACACGGTAACAACAGAGAGACATCTAGACTCTTATAAAGAGGTTTTGTGGATTAGGGATTCAAACTGCAAATCACACCTTTTGCTCTGTAATTTGAGAAGGGCTTCAGCATTCATGGCCATGGATAGCCTGGTCACAACAATCAACCACCATTCTTTTTCTGCTGGATTATTTTGGCCTTTAACACTGGATCATGAAGTACGAT